GCTCCACGCCGTCCTCATCTAGGGGATATGAAGTCTGATAATAGTATATTGGTCGTCACTTTACAATTCCCGAGCCGTTAAACTCTTTGGTCCCAATGAGTTAAACTTTTCGGTCCAATGTCCTGAAGGCAAGGAACGAATCGTGGAAGTGTCCCTTTCGCCTTTATCTCTCACCATTCACACCTGAGCACTTCTCATTTGAGCTTATACTCCGGGCGTCCAGCGCTTCTTTTGCCTGCTCTGTCACCTGTATCACCTGTGCTCCCGTTGATCATCGAGTTCCTCGAGCGGGCGCCAGTAACGTCTCCATTCGTCCCTGCAACGTGCAAGAGTTGCCCAATGAGTTTTCTGTGCTCGAAGGAGAAATGGACTCCGCACTCCTCGTTCAGAGCTTTCACGGAGAAGTCTGACCATCGCGTAGGCGGTTCCAGGTGTTCGCTTGACATCCCGTGGAATCCAGTCGGTGATCGCTCTGGTCCAGCGGTCGTCCTCGAAACGCATGACGTGCCCGACTAAGCTGATCTTCGAACGCAGCTGCGTCCCTGATCTTCGATCACGACGGAATGCGAAGCTCCAGATCCTTTCTCTTACTTGCGGAAAACTCCGTGCATCCCTCGTTTATTAATGCTAACCACATGACCATTCTGCTCTCGCAGCTAAGTCTCCGAGGCGTGACTTGACCTTAATCTGTACTCAAGTTTGTGAAAATTCGTGCTGTTTTGTGTTTCTCCTCGATGTCTCTTATAGAGCTGCTCCACAGAGAAGATGAAATCTACGGTCATGAGTGCGAATGTCCACTGTGTTGCAGAGTGCAAGCCTGAGCTGAAAGGCTTTCTATGAGCAGCCCTTCTAGAAGGGTTACCAGATGCTGTTATATGTCTCAGGAATACCTGACCGTAGAGGTAAGTTGAGACCAAATGTTTTTACGGAAGTTCCGTTATTTCCAATGCTTGGAATGGGATATTCAGAGCTAGCTGATTAGTGGTTTTAGCAAGTGGTGGACTTGTTCTGGTGTGAAGTTCCTTTCACATTGTTGACAATGAGATGTTACACGGAAAAATCCAACCTATGGTTGGTTGCTCTTGTTTTCATCTCCGTCCACCAGAGAATCTTGCTTTAATTTACAGTTCGAAATTCCAGCGTCTTGAAATGTTAAATGCGGTACCATAGATGAAGAATGATGCTCAGTATTGCTCCCTATCGTCGCTGTTTGCAGTATGGGCGTGAAGACAAGTGCATTTCAGCTTCATGTCGCTACTTCGCTTTACCAGCGACATTGTTCTATTTCCTTCTTTGTATTGTTTTGTTTTTCTTCTTTGCTTATCAATAAATGCTTATGCCGTCCTCTTTTTCTTTTGTTTAGAATGGTTAAATCCCAGTGAGGTTTACTCAGTATATCAGATTATTCAGAGTTTTTAGTGTCCTGCCAACGAGCTTCTACTTACTCGAAGTGTTCCGCATATTATTTTTCTTGTTTAGAATTTGAAAAACTCCACCTTTCGCCTTGGTCAATGGGTAACATTCTGGTGAGTGCACTACATCTATCAGAATGGACAGCTCAGCGCGTCGCTTATACATCCATTTGGGTGTACCTGGTGTTGCTGGCCATATTTCGCTTCCTTTATAATAAGGTGCCTTTGGGGAATTCAGGTCGGCTACTGTGCTACTAAAGAGGGGGATGGGGGTATGGCAAGCTCCAGTACCACGCGACGGGCTTTTGGTGCGGTCTCGGCTGCCTGTAGTCTTAAGGGAGTAACCGGGAAGTGGAGAAGGCGTCTCGCCGGCCAGCCCGAACCTCACTCAACTACAATTAGCGCCCGTAACTTTCGTCCTGTGTTCGTTTGTGATGTCGCAAAGTGACTGACTGAAACACTAGGTACTGTTGGGGTTATTCTGTCCTAAGACGCATCATAAGGGTGCTGGAAAATGTGGGCGCCTTCTTTTCAATATTGACAAGTTGGCAGTTTCATAGTGGATACTATTTTGTTGCTTTTTCTGCACTTCCCAACAGCATGTTTTTAGTTTTTTGCTGCTGCGCCACCGTTCGTTCACTGCTGAACCGAGGAACCGTACCATGTGATTTTGCGCCCCCCGCGGGCCCCCCCCAATTGAGGATTGGGAACTCCTGCCACTACTTTCAAACCCAAACTTCACTTTAAACTCACTGAAAGATAACGAATTTGGGAAAAATTGGAGGCAGTGCTGGCATGAACAAAAAGCACGGACAGCGACGATCGGCCATGCACTGAAATCTCATTCCATTAGTCGATGGCAGAGTCTGGGAGTCGTTCGCGGAGGGACTCCCAAATTTCGGTGCCAGCAGGGGTGTGTTCGTAGTCATCGGAATTTACAAGGCTACATCTTGCCCAGAGGCCATTGAAAAATATGTGCGAGCTGCAGACGAAGGGCTGACATGCGCCATACAGAGGAGTTGTTGCGCTCCTGTGAAAATGTTCCATAATTGAACTTAGCAGCAGCAGCAGTCAAAAAAGCGAAAGATGATTCCCCAGGGGACTTTTGAAAAGAAAGTTCTTCACGCTGAAACAGTTGAAAAGGTCTAAATGTTAGAACATAGTATGCGATACAGGTGATGAGCTCCCCGTTATCGTCGACGTCAAAATAAAACCCATTGTTCAGGCCTATCTGCGAAAAGCTTGGAAGACTGTTGAAGACATTCCCCCATATGATCTTCAAAACTCATTAGGATCGTACTCTTTTGGAAATAGCGGTCATGATGTACCTTGGGTGCGATGTTCCGGGTTTTTCAATAAAGTTTTTTGCCTTTCAGCAGGCCGAGCCTAAATAGTTTGGAGTTTTTTATGTAAGGTTCCATAGAAGAGAAACTGGAGAGTATGACATGAAGATATCAAAGTCTGGACTGCTAGAATCGGTCCACCTGCGGTGCGCCTTCGGTCCAGTCGACTCGCAATTGACCCCTTTTGTCGTAGCTTAGTACGCGTTCATACTTCCGATTGCGCAATCGAGATCGATCGCGAAGTATGAACGCTCTACGGTGAGCTGTTGAAGTATATCCAAAAGAAAATCCTTCAGAAAAGATTGTGAATAGGGAGGATTTTGTGGGCGTTCATGCTTTCTGCCACCCTTTACACAGAGCATAAACACCATAAAGACGAGCACAGGATCGGAAAATGATGAGTTCTTTTGGTCTCACATTCCGCTGTGCTCACCCTGTATCCTGCTTTGTTGCAAAAAATAAGCTGCTGGGTCTTCCGTGTAACATAACCGTCGCGACAATGCAGATTTTGAAGGCGACATCTCATCGCTTGTTCAAGTCTGGTTTCGACGGCTTGGACGTTCTGGATTGTCACGTTTTAGTTTATTTCGCCTGCAGACAATACTTTAGGTGAGCATGTAGTGATGAAATCGCTGGCTTCACCTCCGATGCGTTAGTTGATCTTACTACGGTAGTACAGAAGATGACCCAGATCGCTATCTCTTTTTGCCGCCTTTCACACTTTTTTTACATTGGAGGAATCGACTGGTCCGAGAGGATAGTATAAGTGTATCATTCGAGGAACTGGGTTAAAATAAGTTGAGCAGAGCAATTGCACGTCAAAAGTATGCAGAGAAATGCACGTAAAGTATTGAATGAGAATTGATCGACTCCCAGTTTTCCTGCACCCCCAAATTCACCAGCGGAGGGGTGGAGGATCTGTCGAATCCTACCTAGTTAACTTGGTGCGCGATCCATTGGTTCGCATCCCCCTATTGTTCCACTTTGCTAGATCGATACTTATAATTTCTCTGCTGTATTCTCCGATTCGATGACGCTCCTATTCTTCAGTGTCAAAGCGTCAACCCGGGCTCAGTTCACCCGCTTGTGCGCCACACCCTCTGCATCTTGCTTGTGCTAATAAACGCATGAATGTCTTATTTGAGGGACAATCTCACCGCTCGCAATTGAATATAAAAAGTTTGCCTACTGACTTCTAACCAAGCATGTTGTAGCCGTGGGGTGCTGAAGCAAACTGTCGACGTGCGATTGAGAGGAACGAGAAATTCCGTTCACAAGGATTTGCTGATTTTCAATCTCGCGTTGCGACTGATAGTAATGAAGTGTTGGAGAAACGCAAACAGATTCTGTCTTGGCCATTCCTGGAACTGCGAGGTGGAGTCTTATTTTCTTTTATTATTTTTTTATTTTATTTTTCTTTTTCCTATTTAGTATTACTATGAATTGATTAGATCGCCTACAGCGAGATGAGCTAACAGCTATCCAAGCACTGGAAGCGTACGTGTGGAAAGCGTTGCAGTTGCAAGAGAGGTACAACTGTTGCATTGAAGTGATAAGAGAGGTATGTATTAGGGCACTTCTTTTTTCTCTTTTCTTTACTTTTCTTCTTGACAATTCTTCACATGTATTTGAAGGCGTTTGACACAGCCGCTGAAATGGACAGACTGTGGTCGGGTGCCCCAGAAAAGCCGCCATTATATGGTATTCCTTTCAGTGTTAAAGGAAATTTCTATGTAAGTGGTACTCATTTCTTCTAGCACTTCCAATTATTTAGCCATGATACTGTGAGAAATGAAGCTTGTTTGCAGATGCCTGGATACGACTGTACCCTTGGTCTAGCGAAGTTCTTAGAGCAGCCGAAACTTGATGAATGCACTATGGTAACTCATCTTCGTAACCTTGGAGCGGTAAGTTCAATTACCAGGAATCTTCATATATCTTCTGTTTATTGTAAACTTCCTTTTGAAGCAGGGAAGGTTATTGAGGAACAGTTTCTGCTACCCTGAATTTTCCTTTTTTTTGTAAAAGGTGTTCGCAGGTTCCATTTGTTATTACCAATGTTCCACAAGCTTTGTTATCATTCGTATGCTCTAATTCTGTTTATGGTACTACATCGAATCCTCATGACGTAACCAGGTGTGTCGTAAGATTCAGTTGTGTGGCGTTATGTGTCGGTCGGGAGATCCCCAGGTAGTCGCGGCATTCGCATCATGACCTAAGTGTCATAGGGTAGAAGTGTCACAGTACGTCGAGTCAACCAACCAGCGAACTAGTTATTTTGTGCACATGATCGCAACATGGGTCTCCCAACCAACATTCTAAATTTTCGCACTTAAACTAATAATGATCTACATTACTTGCGAGAAGTTAAGATCACCTGGAGGTTCATCTGGTGGAGAAGGTGCACTTTTCGCTGGTGGCGGCACTCCATTCGGTATTGGAAGTGATCTTGCAGGAAGTTTGCGAATTCCAGCGGCATTTTGCGGTTTTGTAACGTTGAAACCATCTCAAGGTATGTCTATTCTTCCCCTCAGTTGACCTTACGATTTTAAAATGTAATACGAGATGATTCACTATTTATGGAGGTAGTTTTCTCAAGAAATCAAAGATTCACAAAATTTTCAGAGCGCCTGGTCGTCAGGAATACCCACGGGGGTGTCCCTGGTCGTGGACGCCTCGGTTTAAGCTTTGGATTTTTCACTCATACTGTAGAAGAGCAAGTCGAATTACTGCAGATGATTGTTGGAAAACCTGAATATATCCGACTTGTTCCTACTTCTATTTTGGTACCGATAGACAAAAAGGTTTGTGAGCTACGAGATTTGATTTTTCCCGCGGAGCTATACCTAATCTAGTCGCTTGTTTTTAGGAAATTGGTAAGACAGACAAGCTTGCGCATTGGGTACTACGATGACGATGGATTTTGCCCTGTGGTACCTTGGTGGGGCAACTTCTGTTTAAACAATTTTACCCGCAATTTTCTGAACGAATCATTTCTAGTGTTAAACGAGCTCTCCTGGAAACTGTTGAACGTTTAAAGGCCGAAGGTCATGAACTTATTCTTTTCAAGATCCCAAATGTGGATGAGATGGTGCAGCTGTTGTACAAGGTAATTTATGGTTTCTTTTCCCGTTGTACTGCTACTACTTTCCTGCGATGATAATACCACATGCGCGGTCAGGAGGTCAGGTCCAAGGTCGGCTCTTTCTCAGGCCAACGAAGTTATGCTGTACACTCACCTCCGAGGATGGTCTTTGCAATGAGCGAAGGGAATGCTTTCTAGCCGCAGTAGCGCTCCACCTTCTCCCCGCAAAAAAAGCACGGGAACGGGCCTGTGGGTTAATTGGTACGCCGAGTGTCGTCTGCCATACCTTCGCCCACACCTCAGCAGCAGCCCTTGGCCCGGCCCGTCAAAATCTCGGGCAACGGACGCCGTTATTCTGTGGCTGGCGTCTGGCGGGCTGGCAGCGCAACGCGGAGTATGGAGTCGGAATTGGGACATCATCACCTCGTTACAGCCCCGTTCCGTGCCTGTACAGAAAAAGTGGCATGCTGCTGCAGTCGCGGATTCATTCTCTCCACATACATCAAAGGCCAGGATTCACGCACATGGTGCACAGTACTTGCCTTATTGTGCTTCGGCAGGTCATGTGGACCGAACTGCGAGCGGATCTTGTGCGGTTATGCTACTGTACGACTAGAAAGCGTGGCGCATCTCGAAAAGGACTGCTCAGCGCCGGGCCTGAAGGCTTTCTCCTTTATCTTTTGATCTCATTGCCTTCAGTTGTTGATGCCGGATGGAGGTCGTTATGTTCGTTCGCTTTATGACAACGACATAGTGGATCCGTACTTGAAAGAATTCGTTACCCTTACTGAAGGTCAGTGCTTAAGTACACATATTTGTCCGATAAATTTGAGAGCATTCTTGATGAATCTAGGTTCCACAATGTCTGCGATATGTGGCGTCTTCTATTCTTAAGTCGATTAGTCCTCAGCTGTCCGCGTTATCTGCTGCTTATGTCAGTAACTTGGAAGATTTGCGTTATACTCAGGAACTATGTGACGTGTACAAGGAGCAGGTGAATAATTTTTTGACCTGTCGATCAACTGGCTTACTTTGAATTTCTGTTCCAGTTCATAAAGTATTGGAAAAGTCTTGGGATAGACGCATTAATATGTCCAACATTTCCCGGTAGGTCAACTTCATGTATTTATTCTTGTATATTCTGTGTTTATCTGCTTTCTACGAGTCGCTTATTTCAAGTTCCCGCTGTGCCGCATCGCTTTCCATCACGGATGTCTTCAGCCGCGACTTATACGGGCCTCTACAATTTATTGGACTTTCCTGCAGGAGCAGTCCCGGCCGGCAAAGTAACTTCAGAGGATGACCAAGATTTGCTTGATGAATCGAAGTATCCTGTAGGTAGGTGACTCACCATATGCATCTGTAGTTCTTTAGCTATGCTCCAACAGGAGCATATCTAGGGGAAGCCCAATAGTTTTCACGGCTCGAGTGTCTGCGACCAAGGCGTCCCACCATTCGTTGGACTTGCGCAATTCCTGATTTCTTACCCTGTTCTCGTTCTGTCATCATTTTTGTTCCCTCATTGAACATTATATTTAACACTTTCGGACGGGTGTACTCCCGGGAGTGTTCGCAAGAACTAGTGTTTTCGGCCATCCTTACGCTCTGAGTGCACGCGCGGGTTTTTCCGTTTTTTTTAGTTTCATATATTCCACTAACAATTATCCGTATGAGTACCGCATTAATACGAAGAGAAAATGTGAAAAATGCGAAAAAAACGAGGAACGTGAACACGCGACTGTGTTAAATTGTGAACTGTTGAGTAATCGTATCGTTAGGCAACCGGTCGAAAGTGGTTAGATTCTAAATGTGGTTGAATTAGAAAACTTGCCCAGCGATGGAGGGGGTGAAACACTGTTGGTCGTAGCTATTCAACTTGAACGACTGCTCGCTCAAGTGGGGTGACTGGTCGCTTGAACGCATTATGTGCGCTTGCCTGCAAGATAGTTCCTATCCATGGATGAGGTAGGCAGCCTCACAGATATAGAAGTGTACCCCTGTTTCACATGAAAACGCGTACCAGTGAAACTGAAGCGTTTTGCCAGCTGGATGTTACCTTAGGTCTTCGCTTGCAAGCAACGCACGCCGCAGACGCGCTACATGCCGCTCGACCAGTCATACTCAGTACCACAAGCAGCGCTAGTCATCTGCACCTTCTTATATTTACAGTCCTCATCATTGCGGACCGGTGGGGCGTGCCAGCCGAGAGAGTGCGCACACTGTTGAAGCCGTTCTCAGTATTTTTTGTTGCAACGTGTATGCGACAAAAGTGATAGAAACGAGTGGTACGAAGGATATAATACAGTAATGCGCTTGCCCGCTTCCAAAAACTGGTGCAGAACGACTTTGCCAAACCGCACCAAACGCAGCCGCACTGCCACGCCCCCGGTCCGCAATGATGAGGACTGTAGCTGTGTTATTCTATACAGCTCGACCTCGGTAATGCCCCAGAACGTTTCCGCAGCACACGTGCTGGAAACGGCATGCTTGCCATGGCATGCCGATGCATGTCGAATAGCGGGAGGAGAAATATAAGAACATCCGCGTATCACAACTTTCCGACGCCAGCCACTGCCAGTCGCTTCCAATTGACACCCTTCCCCAGCTGTGGACCTGAGCAGCTGGAGCATGGTGATTGGCTTCGCGGGTAAATGTACACTGTGACTCTATTATCATGCTATTGAATCGCTCGAGTCACGAGGTATTGCACTTTGACTGCAATTTTTCAGGATACAATGTCGCTCTCCGGTATATTCGTGAGGCTTCAATGAGCAGCGTAGGCTTACCACTTTCTGTACAAGTGGTCACACTCCCCTATGAAGAGGAGAAATGCCTCAGAGTTATGGGTGAAGTCGAGAGAGTGTGGAAAAGTCTTCCGGATTTTGATAGTTTTGTTAGCGTTTCGTCCTAAAGAAACTGTGTGCAGTCGTTTTTGCTGCAGACGCTGGGGTTGTCAGAAAGACCGGGTTTTTTTCGGCACCAGGCCGTTCTCCACCTAGTTCTTGGGGCAAGCAAGCGACAATTGGTGGAACACGGACTGATGCCGCGTCATACCCACTTCTTCCCCCTAACACGCCCTAGCATCTACATCGAAAACGATTATTTGAATCCCCAAACGATCGTTCATTCCTATCATTCAGTTCAAGGTCTGTAGTGCCTTACAAGTTTAAGTCATTGTACCGGCTATGTTTTGTGATACATAATTTTGTGATTATGGTATTATAGAAAGTTGCAACTTACTACAGAAAGATGTGCTATTATTTGTAACAGTTACCCATCCTTTTAACTCCCACATTGCCTTTTTCGTGAATATGTCATTTTATCATTTCCCATTTGTTGTGGTACTATTCTACCTAGCCCTTTCTCTAGCTTCATATGACTGTATCCCCAACGTCTGCCTTCATTTAGTAGTCGATCTCTGCCTCTTTGCGCTTCAGTTTTTCTTGTCCACACCACTCACTGATGACGTAAGCTGCTCGGTACGTTTGATGTTCAGGGGTAACATGTTAAGGAGAACGTCTTTTGAATCAACACCTGCTTGAGAATGCTTCGGTCATTGTGCATTTCACCCCTCTGCACTGGTTGTTGAGCTGTGTTTACAGCGTTAAGTTTCTCTAGAGCTGTAAAAAATGTTGTGTCGTTCGAGATAGGGCAGGCCGTCGTTGTGCTCCCACAACGGGGGAGGGGCCATATTTGACTGCGAAGGAGGGGGTCGTAAGCTGAGGGCTCATTCAGAAGTGGTAAGAGCAGCGGCACTCATATGTTGTACAGTCGTTGAATAATAAAAGATTTATTCATGGTGATTGTTGTGAAGAACACCTGAAGAGACACTGGAGAAAGAGGCAAGTTGCAAGCTCGGGTGGGGAACGGCAATGACAAGAAGTACGGTAGGCGTCCACGACGACGTCATGAACTAATGAAAAAAACAGAATACAGTACACCCTCTTCCTAAACATAGGAGACATCTGCTTGCACGAATAAGCCTTACCTCTAGAAGTTAGAAGTTACACCTTTCCAACACCTCTGCCATGAATCAGAGCATGGTACAACACAAGTTGCGCCAGGGGCGCCGAATTAACTTACCCTCATTGTCCGGTACTTTAGTCCCCCATCAGTCATAATCCCGTGTGATATTGCGTCGCCCGCGCCGGAACAACCTGAACGGGACTCTGTGAGATATTGAATCATAATTTGTTATCCACCTCGAATGATTCATAAAGAAAAATCAGTAAAGGTTGACTATCGAAGATGCGATAAGTGAATCGAATATTCATAAGTTAATTAGAACAGGAAACAGTAATATAGAATAGGATTGTGAAGAAAGTTTCTCCAACATTTCGTTTTCGGAGTTTGGAAAATAGACCATTTCATAACTTGAGAGCAAATTGATGAGATGAAAAATAGATTTCTAATTTCAAGTGCAGATTAATCTGTTAGCCAGACGAAATTGAAGACGAAACAGTTGAATAAAACTGGAATGTGCCATTACTTTGCGTTCATACTATGCGACACTTTAATACAAAGAAGAATCGCGAACAAAATCATTCTATAGAATACTGAACCTTGAACGAAGAATTCTATCGCTAAGAAACCCCATTAGAGGTGAAGGCACATCCTATCAACCCGTAGACAGAGAATGGGGTCCGCCGGAGCTATGAAGAGTGACGGTTGGGATGGAGTGGGTCCAGATGGGGTATCGATAGAGACATGGAAAGCCCATGGGGAGCGTTGGGTAAGTTGGGTCATCCATTTCTCAGACACGTTAGCAGCCGAAGGAACGATAGCGAATGTGAAATAGCAGCACAGTTATCCTATCTTCAAACACAAAACAGACGCGGTGGAGTGCTCCAACTACCATTGGATCAAGTTGACTGCACATACCATGAATCGCTAGGAGCGGTCAACTAGCACAAAGCTAGGGTAAGTTGTCGTGTCCCTGTCACGCATGAGCAGTACGACTACATTCTCGAAAAAGTCGCCGCTGATGCCATCTTTGTAGCCGAACAGATGATGAAGAGGTATCGAGAGAAGCGGCGACTCTGCTATCTAGCCTGTCTAGCTATCTAGCCTACCTAGCCTAGCTATCTATCTAAGGACATGTACGATGGGAGTGAGCCAGTTGAAGAGCTTCACAGAGTTTGACAAAGAAACTAGACATCACGGTTGGAGGGCACGCTAAGGATCAGCCCTGAGATCGTTACTCATTCTCCTAACTCTGGATGTCGTTGCGAACAACTCATAAAGAGGCTATTGAAATCAATCCTCGCCGCTTCATGGCGATATTGCCGAGATAGCAGAGAAGAACTCTACGGCAAGGTCAAAAGTGGCACAACTACGCCCATGAGCACCCATTAGGCCCATGGTAAACCCCAGTAGCTACTATCTCCTAGCAACTAGGTTGAACAGCAAGTCGTGTGACACAATGATCATCATTTCTGATCAAAGTTCTCTTCTGAGCGACACTTCCAATTACGAAGTAATCACCATTGATAAGCAGGGCAAGTGCCCACCTTTTTCACAGCTTCTCTCTTCCACTCCTTAGAACTAAGGCAACTACGAGGAAAGAAAGAGGTGGTCCTCATTTTCGAGTAGACATTGATTTTCGAAATCATTGCTTTCTTAATGATGCAGTAAGGATCCAATTAGGTGGTAATCAGAGGCTGCCAATTTCGAAGAATAAGCTGGGTTAGCCCGAGTACCAAATTATAATGCTGTAT